TTCATCTTGGCTGCTTTTCGCCGAAAAAGCCTCTGGACCACACTGAAGGAGTTGTGCTGATTTCGCAATTACTTGATTCAGGAAAACTTGCTCACTGTAAATGATGAATGAGGGAAATCATCTGTTTTCAAAAGGTGGGAGAAGGTCTCGCAACGTTAGATGCTGTCACGGCATTTTGACCTATCGCGCCTCCAATATTTATATTACGAGGACGTCGAAGCCAGCAGCAATATACGTTTACATTGGTCAGGTTGACCTGCCACAAAAAAATACTAATTTTCTCCGTTCAGGATTCGAAGCAAAGTTCAATGCAGAGAGGTTCTGCGCGGATCTTCAATGAAGACTCTCTTCAGTTTGTCCCCGTGCTGCCGGCTATAGAACCATTTGGCTAAGTTTAAGTAGTATGTCTCCGTCTGTCAAATATACTTTTATTCAGCAGCTCACCTAATAGCTAGTCAACTAAGCTCATATTTCAACCCGAAGGATATACTAATATCGCTTTAGTGTGACCCCCCCCCCCCCCCTCCCCAATAGTACGTAATATAATACATAACCCGCTCGTCAAAATGACTTCTCGATTGCTACTAAAACCTGAATTGAAATACGAGTATCAGCTGCTTAGTGGGGCGCCGGCAGGTTAACATGGTCCTTGGCTCAAGAAGCGGTTGCTTAATTTTCGTAATTTTCATGCAGCCTGCGATGTTGGCCGAGCAGACGACTGGAGCTGTTTCGTAAACGCGGATAGGCACAGAAGCTCGATTTCGCGGACAGATAAGTCGCATGGTCGAGGCATGCGAGTTAGCTGAAAAGTTACTCTCTGTGGAACAATTCTATAGTCATCGCCGCTTTCCTTAGATGATCAAAACTGATTAGTATATTACCGTCTCTCCGGAGCCCATAGTTTCGGCTTTGAACGAAATCTCCGAAACGAAAGTTTGACATGAAAATAACAAAAAAACACCGGCAAAACAAAACTATGCTTTGCAAGTTTATCTGCACCGGCTACACTTAACCGTCTCAGTTCAAATACCTATAAAATTGGGCATTAAACAAAAGAAAATCTGTTAAATTGAACGCGCCACCTGTTCAGGCGGCCCGGCGGAGCCGCCGCGACCTGGACTCAGCCACCGTGTTTGTTTGGTGGTGGCGCCCCCTATAGGTCGCTGGAGTCGCGAATAAACCGTTTTACTAAAAGAGGGCGAGAGAGAAAAGGGGAAAGGGCTACCGGCGCTTTCCCTCTTTCTGATTGTGTAGAAAGAGTGAAAGTCCCGGATGAGAGGCTTGGCCGGTGTTGGGTGTCCGCAGTACCGGCAGTACCCCAACTTCGTTCGCACTTCCTTTCTGTTTTAAACTCGCAAATTTAATTATAGGTACGGGCTTCGATGGCAACAGTCCCCCGGTCATCGGGACACCGTTGCTCGGTCATAGGGTGCACGAATAAAAACAGAAAGCGTCGAATACTGCCCGAGGACTTATGTAGCTTGCGAGGAATCCAGCAAGGCGAGAGCGGCTGCAATGTCTTGCAATGCAATGCCGGGATCATGTAGAAAGCTCCATCGCTTTCCATATGACCCCGGTTTCAGGCGGCAGTGGATTGCGTCCGTAAACCGAAAAGGCGTTTCCTCAACGCCAACCTCTCGACTGTGCTCGGAACATTTTGTGAATGGAACGCGCACCGAACGCTGTACAGCTGATGAACATGGGGTACGCTCGCAAGGTGCGTGCGAGTTTTCTCGTGATAACTGCTGTTTGAGCTCGCGAAATTTTGTACCTGAATATATCTTAATATTGATAATTTCCTGTGGTGACTGACTCGATTTTATCATCTACAACACTTAGTTGAAGGCTCGTTTCCGCCGCCGGGTGAGGCTGAAAATTTTTGAAATGGTAGTTCTATCGGTTTTCCTCAATCGCGATCTCCTGCGTGATACCAGAGAGCCGGCAAAAGAGCTCCTTGGAGTGGCGCTGCTTTGTTGTTTCCTTTGATTGGGTGATTTGAAACGCCGGACAGTCGCTGCAGGGTACGTCTCGTGTGTTGCGATCTGCGTTTTCGAGCCCAGTGTGCAAGTTTCTTTGTTCGAGTCATGGCATCCGTCAGTGCGGCGACGGGGGGAACAGCGGCAGCGAACGTGCCAGCAATAGAAATTGGAGGTGAGTACTCAAACTATTGCATCAAATAGTAAAATTATTCGTGGCTGCTTTGAGACTTACCGCGGTTTCATATAAGTACATCTAGAACATCCTCGTCATCCACAAGGAAATATAAGAACACGGACACGAAGATAAAAGCAGCGCAGCGAAACGATCAGTAGAAGCTCCGGGTGTTTACAAAAGTTAATTGAGGTTCCCGTTTCGTGTATCGCTTGTTCATTACTAAAAATGGCTACGTTGAAATAGGCTCATTGCAAGGAAAAATTGATAAATGGTTCACCATTTCCAGTCATGCGGAAAGCGATGGAGCTTAAAAAACATTACAGCCGCACTCGCCTTGCCGGATTCCATGCAAGCTACTATAGGTCCTCGGACAGTATTCAACGCTTTCCGTCGTTATTCGTGCACCCTATCATCCAGCAATGGTGTCCCGATGACCGGGGAACTGTCGCCATTGAAGACCATGGCTCTAATTAAGTTTGAGAGTTTGAAACAAAGATGAAAGCACGAACGAAGTTGGGGCGCTGCAGACATCCAACACCGGCCAAGCCTCTCATCCGGGACTTTCACTCTTTCTATACAATCAGAAAGGAGGAAAGCGCCGGTAGCCCTTTCCCCTTTTCTCTCTCGCTCTCAAAATGGCGCTACCCACGATAAAACGGTCTATATATAACTGAAACATTTCCCAAAGGCACAATAAAAAATGTGGGTGAAAGAATATCCCCCTTCTTCACTGCCTTCGCCCCCCCCCCCCCCCCTTCCCCCTCTATCCCAAAGATTCTCTATGGTACTGCTTGACCCCTAATTTTCTTATCATCTATGTTTGTTGGCCGCACCCGCTTTGATTTCCCTTCCCCCGGTTTTTTTCTGGCCGTCCCCCGTCGCTCTGTCGTCTTTTGAACACTACTGACGTCGCTACCCACACTGCCTCTTGGTGACCGCGGTAGGCCTGTTAATCGTGGCGGAAGATGAGCTCGAAAACAGCCTACATTGAACACGGCTCTACAATAGCACACATATCAGGCTTCGTCTTGATTCCGAAGCGAAGATTTTGGCCTCAAAAAATTCCTTCCCGAAGTCGTGAACAGTCGCTCTGTCGTCACCGATAACTTCCACAAACGACGATCTTCCGACAAGGATGTTCTGAGTACTCACAGCCCGCCTAGGGACAATCTCGACAGCATTGACTCTATTAGCGGCGAGATTTTTCGGTGGTGCCCTCGTTTGGTTAGCTTTCGTGATGTCATTACCTTGTGTTCAAAAAGTTCGATGGTGTTTGTAATGGGCATGGTGGAAGCCTGAAATCATAGCGCTCTTAAAGCATTGCTGCCAACACCGTCAAAATTGAAGTTCTTATATTCCTCTTATTTCCCTTGATGAGAAATCCTTTGCTGGCATCATATGCAGCATTTGGCCAATTGTGGTGGGCCGACCACAGCGACGCTTTCGATCGCTCACGTCGCCAATAGCGATTTTCACATGCAGCAATTCTGCGGCCGAAATCGCTGCCGCTAGCGGCGCGGCGGCACGGATAGGAATGTTTCATTTCACATGAGCGTTTTCTGCCGTTGCGATGACCAATGTTGTTTGCAGCAAGCAGATGCGCAGTTGCAGCAAGCACATGTTCCTAAATTTCTTGAGATGCGAGTCCCAAAGAACCCGACGCTTCGACATTTCACTGATAAGCAGTTCATCGAACTGGGCACAATACATTTTGTCTTACTTGGTTTGACGATCTGTGTTGAAAACTACACATCAATATCGTTCAGTTCTTCTTCTTCTTTTGTTTTTTCTGACTAGCGTTTGCAAAAGCCGTTTCCGATTAGCGTCTCTTGCGCGCGCTACAGCTGGCACTCATACGAGGAGAGTAAAAAATAGCCGCGTGTTTCATTGAGAGAACAAATTCCGAGGAAGGGGACAGCAATCCCTTACCTCCATAATCTCCTGAACAGTTCCGGCGTGACTGCTGGAGCAAAGAAGCTCGACCGGCCGAAAAAAAGAAACCGCAAACCAGTCGCTTGCGTACTTTCTCTGCTTGTCGTCCGCTTCAAGAACGTGAAAAAGCCGCCGTCCTATGCGCCCGCTTTCCCGCAACATTTCTCCTCCAGTCACGTGATTTCCCGCCGCATTGTGAGTGGCCAGCGCGGAAGCTGCCGCTCTGCCGCAACGAAAAAGTTCCAACCTGGCGGAACCGTGCCGCTCAGCCGCTGCGGCTGGCCAGAGCGCCGTGACGGCAGAAATCGCGCCGCTCATAGGGCCAAAATCGCTGCATGAGAAGCCCGCTTGACGCGGCGTAGAGATGTAGGGACACGCCGGCACGACGTCATCAGTGCAGCCGTTCAATCGGCTGGCCCCACGGTATTGCTCGGTTGCGCTCCGATGAACCTAACCTTGACTTTGTGCTTCACAATATTGCTAGGATCTGAGCACCGAGAGAGATTTCGATAATTTACATCGCGTCCCGCGTGACGCAATTGTTGCGAGTGTCCAATCAGCACTCTCCGCGAACTTCGGCCCCAACTTTGTGTTTGACGAGTTTAGCGACCCAGTTCAGCCTCCGATATTCATGGCGCCAAAAATCTCGAAGGCTTCAGTTCCGCGCCGCCATTTAACTGTAAGGGCCGCAGCAGGCGCTGCATGAGGCACGGAACTCGTGCATTGGCGAATTTCACTCTACTTGTAAAAGGAACACGAGCACACCAGGGGCTTCAGAGAAAGGTCCATTGTTTTGGAGCTCATTTTCTGTTGCAGCCTGCACGTGCTGTGCAGTCACAAACCACCGAACGCCGCACTCCCTCGTGAGTTCGATTTTGACGTTCATCGGGACAGGCGAGCAGAAATTAGCTCAGATGGGTTCCAAACAGAGCAAGCTGAAACCCAAAGTACTGCAAGACCTGCAGAATAACACAGACTTCACGGAAGACGAGATCAAGAAATGGTACAAGTGTTTTATGAAGGACAGTCCCAGCGGACGCATATCGGTCGACGAATTCAAGAAGCTCTACTGCAGGTACTTCCCGCTCGGTGACGCGTCCAAGTTCGCCGAAAACGTGTTTCGGACGTTCGCCACCGACAAGAATGGCTTCATGGACTTCCGCGAGTTCATGTGCGGCTTGCACGTGACGTCACGCGGGACGCCCGACGAAAAGATCGCGTGGGCCTTCAGCATGTACGACCTGGACGGAGACGGCTTCATCGAGAAGCACGAGATGATCGAAATGATCGCCGCCGTTCACAAGATGGTCGGATTTCCGACGAAGAGACTCACCGACGATGAGCTGACCCCCGAGCAGCGCACCGAAAAGATCTTTCTCAAGATGGACAAGAACAACGACGGCAAGCTCTCCGTGGATGAGTTCCTCGAAGGCGCCAGGCAGGACCCCTCTGTAGTCAGGCTTGTGTTGGGGGACCACAAGTTTGAGTGCAAGTAGACATGTCACCATTCGTACCGTCCTGTCTACTGTGAACTAGAAATGTGACGACTCCATTCAGCTATCAACTTCTGAAAAGATTAGGTGATTTCAAGATACAACTTTCTTAGCCTGTACTTATTTAATATATTTGATATCAACACATAACACTACCATTCCGTTTCATCATGACTTAAAATAAAGCAATGCTATTATTATAATTTTTCTACAATGTTATTTGCAAGTGAACGTTAGCATCGGCTTCGAGTGGTTCTTCTTTAAAGTGAACCTCATTAAATTGACCGGAGATGTAATTTCTGATTCTTTACCCCGCTGGTTGCTCTCTTAACTTCGCTGTCAGTATATGACAGCTGTCTATAATAAATCGCCTCTATAATCTTCGGAAACAATACACTTGTTCAAAGTAATTATTTATTCATTTGTATGGTGTAGCCCCGAAGCATTGCAGCAGAGGGTGGGGTACAGATCACATTTATACGTTGGAAACTCACACAAACCGTACCACAGCGAAAGTGATTCTAAAAGATGATGACGTCTCTCTGGTGATGGTCGGCGTTCAATGCTGCCACAACTTTGCCACTTGTTAGCTGGGCTAGCTTGTTCGTCTGACATCGGCAGGATGTGTAATGTATATCCTCGAACACATGACACTTCGCGAGCGCGACTCGCACAACTGTAATGCTTGGCCTGAACATGGTTAGCTTGCCATGCTTGTTTGTCTGGCCCCCCTAGGCAGTATATCTAGTCTACGCGGGCCACGGAAGGCGCGGGGGGGGGGGAGGGGGGGGGGGGGGGGGGAGGAGGGGGAGGGGGGTGTTGCGGCGGGCTGCCGTTCCGGGTGCCGCTGACCTTCGTGACACCACTGAATCTACATCCTCGGACACGTTACGCTTCGCGAGCGCGATTTGGAGAATTGAACCTTGCCCATATCACCTGACTGGGAAGAAGAAACCGCTCCCAAAAGAACGACCGAATGCACATCACGTAACGAACGTAATATAGACCTATTAATGTAATCAAAGTTGATCCTGTAAAATGAACGTTATTTTATTTCTTCAAGAACCAACGTCACATTGCCAAATAATGACACGTCAGCACCCGGCTCTGCTAACACACCTGTTTTGGTTCAAAGCGTGGGAACGGCAACGCTTCCAAACTTACAGTTAATCCTCCCTGTTGTTGACAGTACAATAACGTATACCTTTTGAAGAGAAGGATGTCACCAGCTGCAGTAGTTAGGAACACGAGGCAAAATCCTTCGAGCGGCGGCAGAGTGTAGCCTTCTGAGCGGATGTCTCTTCCCAGCTTGAGGGCTGCTTAGGGTATGGCGACGGTGATCTTAGCAGCTTCTATACAAAGACTGCACCAAGGGCGCTTAGGATTTCCGCGTAGCGATAATCTCGCGCCTTTTGGGCCCGGTCGTGGGAACGTTAAAAATGTCTTCCGAAGGAGTTTGAAATGAATGCGGTTATACATAGGCTTGTTGGGGTTTCTTTGCCACTTTTACGTAGTGGACATAATAAAAATTATTTTGTTTTCAATCATGCGGCATTTTGTCATCAAAAGTAACGAGTAACGGGTAACGTAATTTGAGAGGAGATACCGCAAAATAAGAACCACGTTCCTTTACTCGTTAGACATTTGGGACTCTAACGAGTACGTTAGCACGTTAGTAAAAAAACTGACGCGTTACCAGTAACGTCGTTACTTGTAACGCGTTAGTTCCAACACTGGTGCAAAATGAAAAAAAAAGAATGGAGGATTACTGCTTCATAAATGACACAAATATAATTCTCGAATCGGCACTCAAAATGGAGGAGAGAATCCCTCAGAAATAAAAAAAAAAAGTATTCTCTGAAAGAGCATAGTAAAAAGAAAAAATAAAGGGGGGGGGGGGGTGTTAAAAACATACTGCATTTTAAATGTTCCTCTGCTCCGCATCTTCGGCACAGACCAGATAGCGTGATTCCATAAAACTACTTTGTTTGCAAAATCACTTCTGCCAGAAAGTGCAGTTTTGTAAAGCGAAACGCTCGCGCCGTTCCTCACAATGCTGCACCAACAAAAATAATTTTCGTTTCTGAATACTTGAGATTCACTGAGCGCACACCTAATGCAGCGTACATATTGCACCACGGGATTTGATTTTCTCAGCAAAAAGATACATCATTGAACACTAGCACATAAACCGATGATGTCACGTGCAAACCATGTTATACAGTTCAGTTTTCCCGCTAAATTTAGCGGAGAAACTGCAGTGGTTTTGAGGTCACGTGACGCCGATTTCCCCACTAAATTTAGAGGAGGAAACTTAATCCGCCAAATTTATTGGGAAAATGTTCTTGCTATATTTAGCGAAAAACCTTTCGCTAAATATTCCGCTAAATTTAACGGGAAAGATCTTGCTGAATTTGTCCGCTAAATTTAGCGGGAAATTAAGCGAAAATTTCCCGCTAAAGGGGAAGGGAGGAGGAGATGAGGAGGGAAGGGTACGGAGGAGGAGAAAGGGTTACCTTCCCTTTCGTACCCACCCCTCCTACTCTTCAAGATCTGCGCTTTAATTTCGCATTACAGAGAAGTGTAAAGGTTTTTCTTTTTTTTTTTAATTTTGCATCGCGTTCGCTCGATCTAGTGAGTGGGACTCTAGCGACACCATAAACATAAAATAAAACAAAAATCTAATGTATTTTTAATATTATAGATAAAAAAGTTAAGAATTTTTAGCACTTTTTTTTTTTTGATGACGTTCTTGATTTGAACCAAGAACCGATACGACAAAGGCGTGCAACAACCACGCGCGATCTTCCTAAGTGTCGAAGATTTAACATCCAGTTATGAAGATGGGAATGCCCCACGAATTTAGGGGTGTTCCATTCACGTGCACCTATTCCATTCACGTGCACCTATTCGGGGCTGCACCTATGCAGCCCCGAAGCATTACAGCAGAGGGTGGGGTACAGATCACATTTTTACGCCTCCAGAATTTAATGTCGTCATTATCCGACTAATGTGGTCACTGAACGCTCGTGTTTGACACTGATAGGCACGCCTTTGGAAACAGCATTTGGTTTTCTTCGTCCCTTTGCAGTGCCCCTTTAAGCTGAAACCATGTATAGCAAAATGGGCTGCCTAAATTGTACAGTTGTGCAATATATATATCAGTCTCGCGATAATATGCGGCAGCCTAAGAAACTCTCAGAGGGCGCATGACGCGAAAAGCACAAAGTTGTAAAATGATGCCCCAAAAGGAGCGTACGCAAAAGCGAATATAACCTCAGCCTCTAAAGAGAGTATTCTGCGAAATGTCAAGCTCGTTCAAACCGATATCCAAATGGGATTTAAATTAGAAACATATTGTATGTTCTTCGCGCTATTTACGTGTAATCAGAAACATCATTGCACGCATCTCTATAAGAAAAATGCGGACCATAACGAACCACGTACTAAACACTTAGGACTCCGACGTTTCTAAACCGATTCGTTTTTTTTTTTTCTTCATCAGGAGCGACTATTTGCACGTGGAGAGCAGCAGCTTCTTTGCCAATTACGATGTGTCATTTGTTTCAGTCACTTTATTTTCTTCAAATGCCCTGCACTCATAAAAAAAAGTGTATAAATACACTTTACGCTCGATCATGCCGTAATTCTTTGAAAGCCAATAAATCAAGCCGCTCCAATGCGGTTCGAAGCCACTAGTTTGTTTCCCCGCACGGCACGTCGTAGCCTGTATTTCTATTGTAGTGTTTGTTTTTCTATTTGTGCTGTTCGCGCAAAGCTGCAATTGCCGTCTTGAATTAATCTCTGTAGAGCGGATATTCACTCAGCTGAAAGTGATGCTTCACGGGCTGAGAAATCGCGTTTCGATCAACTTCAATGCAGTCAAAGCCGCGACTGGCGACACGTGTTATGTGTACGGAGCTACGCCGTGGCGAGCCCGAAAACTTCTAGCGGTCATCCAAGCGCCACTTGGAGGGCATTGTCTCCAGGAACCGTAATATATTTAAACAGCAAAATAAAGGGTAGCCTTTTTTCAATTTTACCTACTATTGTTTTTTAATACTAAAATTTCACACTGTAAATATACGTGCTTTCCGTCACGATTTTGTACTGTTGTCCTTGCCCCAGAGCGCACTCGCTCTCGGGGACGAGACAATTCCGACAGTACAATTCCGACAGGCCACTGTACGATAGGAGCTTATACTATTCCGACCAGCGTTCCAACATGACTATCGCCACGTTGATCGATGACAGGTAATCCTTCAAGTGGTATTAAACTTTTTAATGTAAATAGGAATGTCCACCTGCGACACCCCGCCGTTTCCGATCCCGGCCCGACCAGCGGCATCAATGCCCGACAGTTTACGATCTCATCTTGTTGTTACACCACTGATACGCGAACACACGGTCACATCGGCGATAATTCCAGTCTTCTGTTCACGACCCACAACACTGCCAACACGATGTTGCAGCTATATTGCTGACACGCACAAATACATGTAGAACCACGTTGAACACCGGTTGCACTTGGCATTGGAAGCACGGAAGGCACCCAGGCAGCCGGCAGCAAAACCTGCCTTTCTTGGACGCAGTTCCTGCGGTTTCCATGCATAACGTCGAAAACGTCGACACAGTTCCGCGTGGTTTCGCTACTGTAGTTTCGTGCCGCGCGAGTTCCGCAATCCGGAGACGGCCATCCCCCAGTGTACGTGGCGCTGCTGGCACTGCTCCGGAACTTCGCTGTTTGTAGCGGTTTCGTTTGCTCGTTCGATAAAATTGGTGAAAAAATCGTCGATGCAACCGCAATGTTCTGCACGTTTAGAGTAGAAGACGGAATTACAGGCGGCCTTCGCCACCGCTGAAGCTCAGTCAAGTCAACAGCTATTTTTTAAACAACGTCCGCGACCTGCTCGAAAAACGAAACCGAAAGATGAGTCGGGAGGGCGAAAGCTTTCTCCCGTCTGCCTGGAAAAGGAGAAAAACGTTTCGTTCCTCCCCTTTTCTCGTGTCCGCTCGGGGGCGCGTCTGTAGAAGGGAGGAAGACGCGCCGTTGCTACTTTTTTCCTCCATTTTTTCTTAGAGTGTAGTCTGTTGACATACGCCGACGATTAATTATCTGCCGACCTATTTTGCCCGACCTATTGAAACGATGGGCTACTATCTCTTGAGGACTTGTTTGGTGAAAGTCTGTATTTCTCAAATGTTTGGCCCAACCAGACGGAGTTCCGTCAAACGCGTTTACCTTTAAAACCTGCATCTCTATACATTTATTTTTGAAAGTAAGGCGTCATGTATGGTATTATTTAGAAGAATACTCTTTATTATCTCTCTTTCTGCACATTTCGTGTAATAGCCTTCAGATCTATAACGTTAGCACATAGTCCTTTTTGGCATATCCTGCAACCCGGTATTTCACACTTTCAAACAGCGAACAAAAAAGCATGTTTTTGCAGACTCTACAGATGCCGTATTTTCGAGTATCGTCCTCCCGTGTCGGTCTCAAGCGGTTATGTGAACTTCATAGAGTCATATTTATTGATGACAAAAAAACATATTTTATTACTGCCTGAAGACTTCACAACATAAATAAAGGGCCGATCACCCTAAATATATACATCATAATTAACTGCACCCCAAAATTATCCGAAATATGCGTTGCAAATCTTTACTGGCGTCTTTATCCTCGATAGGCACCTCCCTAAATGATTTGAGAGAACCTTAAACATTCTTTTATTTTGAAGCTGATTTAAATAACGTATGTGTTCCCTGACGCATATTCAACTTCTCAAACATATAGAAGCATGTTGCCTCTTTTATGAGATCGACAACAATTTCATGTGTCTGTGGGCTAGACAAAAACAAAGTGCACAGAGGCGCTTGGCGGAACTATGACGATTGCGCACGCAGACCGTCAGAAAGTGACCAGTTAAGTATCTGCAATGTCGAGTAGAGTATGAAATACTACTTTGTCCTGTTTAATAAAAATAAAAAATAGCAAGGTAAGGCTTATTTGCAAATTAAATTGACCGGCATTTTCTCAAGAACAAACCTTAGACACCAAGCTATGTCGGAAATGTCCATTTCGGTACGCGCTAGTTTAGAACAGACAGGATCTGAATACGAAGGTCACTCTATTCTGCATCACCATTCGCCTGCATCACGGTGCTGAGTGTATACAATATTGGTCAGGAAAGCAAGCGTTGTGATTGCCGCTCAGTGTTCTATAGAAGGTAGACTGAAAGGGTTTGACGTAAAACTTTTTTGATAGTT